GGTGTGAATCAAAATATGTGAACAGTCATGAATCAAACCTCCACAGACATTAATGATGATTTTGGTTGAATATTTGGTTTAGGAAGGGATCACCCTCCCTAAAACATTGATTCAAGTAGAAAAAAATTAATTAAGAAATTTATTGTATGATCAGCTGGAGAGAGCCAGCGTGGTATCGTGGTCTGAGCATTGGACTATGACTCTGTAGACCAAGATTTGGATCCCCCTTGGCCATGGAAGCCCACTGGGTGACCTTGGGCAAGCAACTCTCTCTCATCCTCAGAGGAAAGCAATGGCAAACTTCCTCTGAACAAATCTTTCTAAGAAAACCCTGTGATGAGTTCTCCTTAGGGTCAGCATACGTTGCAAATTACTGTACTTACAGGCACACAATGCAAACATGACTAGTTGTCCCATTTAAATTAGTGTCACTTGGGACTGTTTAATTCTTTGGCTAGAATATTGTGCCTTTGTTCTACAGTATCCATTGTGTATGTGTGCGGGGGCTGTCATTCTGTGAAATGGATCTAATGCCTGGGAATGTTACACAGTAGATTGTTTTAAGCCAACAGACAATGTTTGTTGGTTGGCTTGTCTGTGGTGGGTAGTCAGGATTGATTGCAGCTTGTCCTGTTCATTGCTTCCCAGGCCAGTAAAACCTGATCTGAAACAAAAAGCAGATGGGCATGCGGGCATGCACACACACAGGTATCCACAAAAATACTCCAAGTGAGTAAAAACCAAATTCATTTTTATGTGTGGCTGAATCATCTTCATCCTCATCACTATCACCACCTTCAAAACGTGCCCCACTGCAGCAGAAGTGGTGCAGGAGATGGTATGAGAGATATGATCAAGGAGGCTTTGTAACCAGCATGCAAGCCTCCAATACTTGTTGCTTCAAAGGAAAAGGAAAAAAACACCACCCCACAATGCACCCGCTCCATTTTGCAATGCTGTACAGGGGGGAAAATTCCATCCTGACTCCTGCAGGCAAACAGCCTGTGCCTTGAAGAAGGAGTTGCATAACCCCAGTTTACATAGCTGACTGTTTGGTCATAAAGTTACCCAGCTCTTTCTAGTTACAGACATTTGGAATAAGAGCATGCTACTAAAAATAGTTGGGTTTTTAAAAAATTAAAGGTGGCCCTTAAAGTTCATTGCTTTAAAAAGAAAACGGGAAGTGGGTGGTGGGTGGGCTATATCTTGGACAAAATCTTGGACAAAATCAAAACACGTTAACAAATTGTTGAAAATCCAGCATCTCTATTGCAAGGTCTTCTTTTTGTTGTTAACTGCCCTTGAGTCAGTCTTAACTCACAGCGACCCTATGGATGAGACATCTCCAAGATCCTCTGTCCTCCATTGCTCTACTTAATTCCTGCAATGCCATACCCATGACCTGCAATGCCATACCCATGACCTCCTTAATAGAGTCCATCCATCTGGCATGTGGTCTTCCTCTCTTCCTACTTCCCTTCTTTATAAATTATAGCAAAGCCTTTGACTCCATAGATCATGAAAAGCTATGGAATGCCCTTGAAGACATGGGAGTGCCAACACATCTGATAGTCCTGATGAGGAATCTGTACTCAGGACAAGGGGCTACTGTCAGAACAGAACATGGAGAAACAGAATGGTTCCCAGTTGGCAAATTCAGACAAGGCTGCATCCTATCACCCTACCTATTTAACTTGTATGCAGAACATATTATAAGGAAAGCAGGCTTGGACATGGAAGAGGGAGGAGTGAAAATAGGAGGAAGGAATATTAACAATCTAAGATATGCAGATGACACTGTAATACTAGCAGAAAACCTCACAGACCTGGAACACCTACTAAGGAAGTCCAAGGAAGAAAGTACAAAGGCAGGTTTAATGTTGTACATAAAGAAAACAAAAATAATGACCACTGAGGACCTTCACAAGTTCAACCTAGAAATATTAAAAGAATGCATTATTGTGTGACAAACAGCAGTTGAATGGGGGTTTATTATTATGGTAATAATAAGGATTTTAAAAAGAGTTTCTTCACCTGAAAATCTCATGGGATGGGATTTTTATTACTATCAATGACAAAACCTTTATACAATCAGCATTTGCCAATTTTGGAGATGGATTTAACTGGATGAAGAAAGTGATTATTCGGTCATAAATCAATGCAATTTTTCTTCTTCTAAGAATGAATGCATAGACTGCATCACCATGTCCCTTTTACCACTCTTGGAGGTGCCATGTTACTACAGGATTCACACAGTTTAGTCATAATCTTTGCTGAGTAAAATCTTGCTGATACTGGAAAATTATAAAATCTTGCCATGGCAACAGCACTTTTAAGTATTTTTTATTAGTTTTCTCTTCTTGGATGGAAGAAATTCCAGCCTAGTTTGCTACTTTATTTCCTTGAAGTCTATAGAAGAATACATGGTGAAATAACAAGAGCAAAGGATTCAGGGGAGAGCAGAGATCCTAAGAGCCTTAAGAAGGAAAAAGCATAGCTGTAAAACTAGGAGCAACTGTATTGATAATTCCAAGGAATAGGCAAAAATGAATGTTGGCATTATTTAATTAAGTGAAAACAATACATTCTATATTTCAATTCTATGTGACGCAGATGAAATCTGTGGAAACAGAGACTGTCAACTATTTTCAAGGTCTGCACCAAGGTCTCTCAAGGAAATTGTGTAATTCTTGTGGCTGGCCAAGCAAATTGGTCTAGTGAGGTCAGTCAGGGGATGGACTGTGTCTAATTAATTTCAAATTGCTGCATACCATTTCTCATTTAAAAAAAATCCCAAGGTGGCTTGCAATAAAAACAGCTATAACGAATTTCTTCCTAAAAGAATAAAGGCAATCAAATCCATCAAACATCATTCATTAAAAATCAGGGCTGACCAATTAGAGTTATCCGTTTGAGTATTCCTTCTCTAAGAAAACTCTTATGAAATTCTTGGGGTTGGCATCAGTCAACAGCTGGCTTGAAGAGACATACACAAATTAGTCAATCAGGAAAATGGTTGGGTAAATGGAGGAGTTTTCAGTTGCTAGCAGAAACACCCAGCCCTGGGAGCCTGCCTGATTTGAATGGGGAAACCATGCCATGTGATGAGAGTCACAACAGAGTAGGCCCACCTCCCAAAGCAGAGGAGAGCGTGGAGGTTCTGTGACTCAGTTATCCTTGTAATAATATTTTCTGAGAGGATTTACCAACTGATCCATTAGACTATGTACTTATCTTAATTTACTTGTAGCCACCTGGTAGACAATTTGTGTATAATATCCTGGCAAATGGCAAGGAGATGTTTGGATACACCTACATATGACTGCAAATTTGTGGAAGTAAAGAACTGATAAAAATTTCCACACCATTTGGAAGGATTTGTATGTAGAGAGATCTTGTAGCATCTTTGAGACTCACTGAAAGAAAGACGTTGGCAGCATGAGCTTTCTATATGCCTCTGAGGAAGTAGAGTTTAGTCTACGAAAGCTCATGCTGCCAACGTCTTTCTTTCAGTGAGTCTCAAAGGTGCTACAAGATCTCTCTACATACTGATTTTACAGACTGGCTATATCATTGAATTCTACCATATTTGGAAGGATGACTCCAGTGATTGTGGAACCAAATGGTTGCATGTTCATTGTAGTATGTTTGCCAAAACTGGGAACTTACTTTTAAAATGTAATTATTTACCGTTACGATACAGCTCCTTCACATAACTATTTATCTATTCGTTTCTCATTACTTTTGTTTAAAAAGCATCTGAATGCTACAAGCCACTGTCCTATAGTAAAAATACACTCTTCTCATACCTACCTCATTGTTGCCTCAGCATCCACAACAGAAGAAGCCTACTCTTTGAACCCCTTGGTATTCCTCCTTCACACCTTGTTTCCCATCACTATTGGTTTAGTTGTTGTGTGCCTCCAAGTTATTTTTGACTTATGGCAGCCCTAAGATAAACCTATCATGGGATTTTCTTGGCATGTTACCATCCTCTAAGTTTAACATTGCCATTGCCATTGCCATTGCCATCCTCTGAGGCTGAGAGAATGTGACTTGCCCAAGGGCTTGCCCAAAGATCACCAGGGTTTGCATTGCACCCCATGTGCTCTCAGGTACAAGTGAGGATGAGCCCATACATTTTCTAAATGGGAACAAAGATAAGAGCATGGGATAAGGCAAGGGTTGGTAACTGTTTTGGGTCTAGGAGCCAGTTTTCTTCCTTTGGGACCTCCAGGGCTTCCTGGACAGCTGAAAATGCCAAGCAAGCAAACAAAACCCCAGAGATGGCCAGAGCTCCACTCCCCAGTTTGGGAAAATAATGGTGGGTTCTGATGTGAAATAATGTAGAGGGAGAAGTCAGCCCATTTAAAAAGACAAAATGTTGCTCCAAAATAAAGCAATTTAGCTTTATGTTGGCCAGAAAAACGGTGCCCTTGGGAAGCTGGAATTGTCAAAGCCCCCCCTAAAACAGCCTTGGGAAGTTTCATGCAGTCCCAGGGCTTCATTTTGCCCACCCTGGTATAAGAATAGGTATGGAAGCAGGGAAGGGGCACGGAATATGCCTCACAGGGATACCAAGAGCACCAAGCCTCTCACACTGGAATTGAAAGCACTAACCAGGAATGAAGGCAGTGGAAACTTTTATAGGGCAAAAAGTGTGTCCTTAAGCATTCAGGAGGGTGATTATACATCTTTAAAGGGAAAAAATGTAAAAAAAAAAAAGTGGGGGGGTGGTTATACCAGCAGCATGTAAGGAATGGGACCTAAGGCAAGTCTCACAATGTTGGATGCTGGACTTCATAAGTGTCCACCACATGACTATAACCATCAAGGAATGTTGTGGTTGTGCTTGCCAAACCAAGAATCAGAGATGATTTCTTGTTCTTGTGAACCTATCCTGAGGTTTTCTTGGCAAGATTTGTTCAGAGGAAGTTTGCCATTTGCTTTCCCTGAGGCTGAGAGCATGGGACTTGCCCAAGGTCACCCAGTGGGTTTCATGGACAAGCTGGGAATCGAACCCTGGCCTCCAGAGTCACAGTCCAACACTCAGACCACTATACAATGCTGGCTCCCCAGAGATGACTAGCAATTTGAATACATGGACTGTAGGTAAGCAGTGCTTCCCTAGTGAGGGAAGCAGTGCCATCCCAATGACTCACTGGTGACCCCAGTCCCTGATACCTAGTAAATCACTACCCTCAGACAGAAAATAGTCTCATCTCCAAAGCGGGTGTGAATAGGAGTTTTCTGGTGTATGTGCATGTGTGCACATATGCATGCTTGTGTTGTTTTGGTTTGCTTTTTTGCTTTAGGTTGTTTGGATGCTTTCACAAGAGAATACCTGTCAGAAGGAATCTGGGCTTCATCCTGACACTATCTCTACACTGAGGCTGAGACAGACTTCCCTCAGGGAAGTAGCCTGTGTGGAGCCAGCCCAAAGAGAAGGCACCCAGTTCCCTGTTCTATGTCTCCTCTCTAGCCCCTCTGGCTCAAGTCAGGGCCTGTCCATTGTAGTCATGCAGCTTCACAAGATTCTAGTACTGTATGTACAAGGGTGACTCATGAGGTGAGTTTCCACCTTATCTCTCCCGCTGTCCATTTAACGTCTTGCAAAATGTGGGAGATTCTACATGCCAGGTTTCATCCATTCATGGAGATTGGGGGACAGAGCTTGGAAAGGTTACTTTTTCTGGATGATAACTCTGTGAATCAGAAAACCAATATAATGAGTGATTGGGGTGTTCTGGAAGCTGTAGTCCCCCCCCAAAAAAAGAGCAACTTTCCCAGGTTCTAGTTTGCGGACAGCACTTGCTCTTTGATCCTTGATGTTGTTGTCATCATTGTTGTGGGCCTTCCAGTCATTTCAGACTTATGGTAACCCTAAGGTGAACTTATCATGGGGTTTTCTTGGCAAGATTAGTTCAGAAGAGGTTTGCCTTTGCCATCCTCTGAGGCTGAGAGAATATGACTTGTCCAAATATTCAAACCCTGGCCTCCAGAGTTGTAGTCAAATGCTCAAACCACTACACCATGCTGACTCTCTGATCTTCATTCCCCTCTCCTAATACATATACTTATCATGCTTAGGAGTTTATCACACGGGGGAAATCCCGTGCGGAAACGGGGCTTTAAATTAGAAAAAAACGCAGAAGCGGTTAGTTTTTCAGATGACATCGCTTTTAAAATGGGGTTAACCCGAATGGAAAATAGTCAGAAACTGCTTCTTTTTACTTTTGGAAAATCCCAAAAGTAAAAAGAAGCAGTTTCTGACTATTTTCCATTCGGGTTAACCCCATTTTAAAAGTGACGTTGTCTGAAAAACTAACCACTTTTGCAGTTTCCCCCACCTTTTAAATCCCGTTTCTGCACGGGATTTCCCCCATGTGATAAACTCTTAGTTTCCATTTGTCTAACTGGGCCTATAGAGCCTGATCCCCATCTTTAGAATACAAATACTCCTGAGCAATAATACTGGGCTGTTGTCAAGATTGCATCAACAAAGGCTACAAAGAAATACATACATTAGGGATGGCTCCGAAATGATGAACAGCAATAGCAATAGTTCACTTACACCCTGCCAACACCATTATACATTGTGGAGGGAGGGAGGGACAAAGGATTAGGAGGTTGGCAGGAGCAACTTGAACAATCTAGTCTAGTCCTGGTCTGGAAACACAGAATTCTCCAGGAAGTTAATTCAAGAGGTTGGGCACCTTCTGCCCTGCATTTAAACTTCCATAGTACAACATCAAACATGTCATGGAAGACCAAGCCCCCACAGGCCTGACAGAGAAGCAAGAAAAAAAGAAAAGACGTGGGGTGGGGGGGGAGAGACTGGACTGGAGGCAGCAGATCCTAATCTTTATTAAATAAGTACAAAGCCAGTGCCGGCTAATGAGAAAAACAACCTGATGAAAGATCCAGCAGGCTCCTCAGAACGACACAAAGAAATTTACTCCTGATGAGATTTTTTACTAAAAATACTCAACGATGCTTGTTTGGGGCCCAAAATTTCACAGATCCCAACTTTGGTGGTTGGGCCGTAGCCATTTGGACAGACTTAATACATTGCTAGTCAGCTATGTAGGGAACAGGAGATCTGGATGGTGTTTCTTTGTTCTGAGCATGAGTTCCAGAAGTACTGGGAATGCCTAATGTTTTGCACTTATCAATTATATGATAACTGTCTTTTTTCCCAAACAATGTGTCTAGGGTGTGTGAGTGGATTTACAGTGTCATACAATACTATACTCTGAAAACTTAACCATACAATGGTAGCTGGTGACTCCCATATCAATGCATGGTGGATTTGTTCTGGGTTTTAGCCTGAACAGAAAGTACTATTCAAAGTACTGAACCCGAAAGTACTATGCAAAGTACTGAACTATTCAAAGTACTGAACCCGAATAGATTTAGCACCTCAATTAGCTCCTGGTCAGATTCAAGCATGGAATGGATTCATTATCCCACTGAGAGAGTAAGATTTGTCTAAGGTCACCCAACATGTTTCCATGGCTGAACTGGGATCTGAACCCTGGTCTCCTGGAATCCTATCTAACACCCAAACCATTACACCACAGTAGCACAGCAGCAGGACTAAAATGGCCAAGGGAACTAAAATGAAGAGGTTGGAATAACTGTAAAGGCCATCTCTGTTGCACAGGAATGGTCAGGGCAGGTTTTTCTGCCATTTCTCCTACACTCCCCAGAGACTA